TTGTCTTCTTGAAGTGGTACTCAGAGTCCTGAAGCACATTTTTCGGTATTTTTGCAATTACATTAATGAAGAAAAGTGTTAACTTCTTTTTGAAGAATTCTATGTATTTGAATTTCTTGTAAGTGTATAGGTTCTTCTTTTAAATTTCAAGTTCTAACTCGAACATGAGCTTTTCGTGATATTTAATTGCCCGAAGAAGAGATATGGTAGAAATGATCGATTGAGTTTATGATTCGATTAAGTATCTTAATTGGAGAAGAAGAATCGAGGAGCTTAACATGATTTATCGAAAGATCGATCTGCTTTTTGCTGGTGACCATTTCAGAAGTCGCGTTTTGCATCCTTGATTTATACCACGAGATAATCCTTTTGTCGCTGACAATTGAAAATGAATCGATTTCCTCAACTAAGCGACCTCTTAGTCACACGCAAGTTTTCAACGTTTGACATATTTTCGTCCATCGTTGTACCATAAGGGACAAATTGAGAAATGATCAAATTCTCGAAGGAATAATTAAGGAGATGTTAAAAACTGTTTCACAGGAGAATGAACATTTCAGAAATTAACATACACTTGTTAATATAAGATTGATAAAACGTAGAAAATCTCAGTTTTCTACTATAGAAAACCATCCATCAAAATAAGAACTTTTAAATCTCTTCTATCTTATCAGATCTCCTACGTTCGATCTGCAAAAATGATATTTACGATCCATTTCAAAGAAACAGTCCTCGAAGCGCCCTCATTCCACAGTCCATCATTCGTCGAAGATAAAATGGTCAATCATCAAAATAAAAACATTCAAATCTCCTCTATCTTATCAGAACTCCTACGTTAGATCCACGAAAATGATATTCATGATCAATTTCAAAGAAACCGTCCTCGAAGCGCCCTCATTCACAGTCCATTATTCGTCCAAGATAAAATCATCGACCTTCGAAATAGAAACTTATAGATCTCTTCCGTCTTATCGAAATTCCTGTCTTTGATCTACAAAAATCATATGCACGATTCACACGTAAAAAGCACCCTCAAACATCCTCGAACCATCCTCATTTCACACTCCATCATTCGCCAAACGTAAAAAATCGTCAAACTTCGAAATAAAAGTTTACAAACCTCTTCTACATTGTCACATTTCATACCTTCGATTTGTAAAAAAACCGTATGCACTATTCATTCGAACAAACATCGTCAAACTTCACTTGAAAGAGGAACAGCCTCGACACACTTTTACTCACCTTCACTTGATCGCAACACAAAATCATCCGAATGATCGAAAAATCATCTGAAATCACCACACACAAGCACATACAAACACACGCCAAAGATAAAGCTTTCACTCTACCTCGTACCTCGAAACGTATCAGATCAACGCGAACCCATGTTGATCGAGCTGTCGGAAAGAAACGCGTTTACTCTTGTGCTCTTGGTAGCCAGTGTGACTCTTAGATAGAAAAGTTGGTCGCAGAGACAGTGGAATAAAGCCGTGCGTTCATCAGCTCTACATAGCTGGCTGAAGCCATAGTACACCGGTCAGCTTGGTCGTGGATTAGGCACAAACACGTGGATGGCATCGAAAGAGGAACGCTCGTGATCACATTGCGTATCCACGTGCACAACATCTGACAAATCTCGCGGTGTTAACGGATACTGGTTTATGATGCTGCTACCATAACCGTTGCTATTTTTCGGTGTTTCTGTGCTGCTCTTCGGTTTTTACACTTTTCTTTCATATTTCTCTGCACCTTTTCCTTTTCCTTCTACTCTTCCTTTTTTCATCCCTTCTCACTCTTCTCAGCCTTCACGTTTTGTTTTCGAGGGCGCTTTTCACTGTTTTAGTGTGGACGATTGGTGATAAAGAAAAATACGTGTCGAATATTTTTCTGAGATCTATCACAAAACGTAGATTTCATAAAAAGTTGGAAACTATCAATTCGGGATGTTCCCTTGTAAAAAGACACGTGTCGAATATATTTTTGAGATCTATCAAATACCCAAATTTCATAAAAATTGGAAATTATCAATTTGGGATGTCCCTTTGTAAAAAAATGTATGCCGAATATTTTTCTGAGATCTATCACAAAACCTAGATTTCATAAAAAGTTGGAAACTATCAATTTGGGGATTTCCCTTGTAAAACAATACGTGTGCAATATTTTTCTGAGATCTATTATAAAACCTAGATTTCATAAAATTGGGAACTATCAATTCGGGATTTTCTCTTGTGAGTTGTCTTAGAGTTCTAAGGGTCGTTTTATACTTATTAGAGATGCCTAACAGTTGCCTTTGCGTTGCGAATACCGTCAAACTATTGTTAAATTCACTTCTACCCTACTATCACCTTTTACCAAATTCCAATTAAATTCATATTTCTGAGATCATAAACTATTACACCAGAAACTCTTAGCAGTACAGATTCTTCACAATTAGCATCAAGTCAGAACGGCTCGTAATTCTTCGGATTAACGGATCAGGTGAAAAAATAGAAACAGGTGTAACATGGTTGAAAAAGATAGATCACTCACCTTACCGTGAAAGAGGATTGTCAGGTTCGTTGGCTCGTTCTTCTTCGTTTAGAAGAGGAAGAAGCGATTTTTTGGCGGTTACGAGACAGAATTTGGATCATATGGTAGGTACACGTGACTTGAATGAGCTTTCCTCGGTTGATTGGGAGAAATGACGACGTTAAGGGGACCAAGTGGTTCCATGGGGACTGGAAGTTTCTATTTTCTTCGTAGAAAGTTTCTCTTTGGATGATTCTTGATGTAAGGAAACATTGATTTCATTAGTAAAGGTATTTTATACAATTTTAGAAGATATGTGTATATGTACGTGTATGTGATACGAGAAGATAGTGATAAAGTTTGATTTAGAAATTCGAGGTACTTTTGTTTAAAGTGGAATTGTAACGAGTACATTAAGTAAGTTCGTGCAAATGCATATTTTTATAGGAAAGGTCTAAACCAGTGGGACTTCGATAGAAATATGTTTTAAAAATACATGTTTTATTTTGCATATATTTCTAGTATACATAGAACTTGCTTACAAATTCGTTAGAATTCAACGAACCTCTCAAAGAAAATTCTTAATGAATATTAACATCTAAATGATCATTTCCAATGGATTCTTAAACACTCAGGTGCACAAACGAGCACTTTGATCCTTCAAATTTGAAATTAACCCGTGTATAAAAAATTTCATACAGATATCTTCTTTGTCCATTTATGGAAAATCGAGGAAAAATTGCTCGGGTACGAAAGGGTTAAGAAGGAAATTAGTCGAATCAGTTTTCGGTCATCAGGATATATTCCTAATTGAACAATTACATTTCCCTTGACAAAGGAAGGGTATACTTTTAGGGTAGATTGAGAAACAGTACGCAATAACTTCGAAGACACCACTGGAAATAGAAAAGGTAAATCCTAATTCGCCCTAAAACAAGGGGGAGGAGACACACTTTATGGACAAGGGTTGAACAGGTCAGAGACAAGAAGCCCACGTTTCCAGCCACTTTTTTTTTATCCCTTTAATTATTTAATTATACGCATGTATTAAATTTACATTCACTTTTAAGAATGACGTTCAGGTTACAGACAATGTGCAGTACTGTAATACTAGCTCCTATTACGATTAATCGATACGAGAAGAAAATCGTAGCTAAGTCCATTCGGTGTGACGGTAAGAAACGAAACGATACAATTTACTCTATTTTCTATTTTACAATATTCAACTCTTGTATCAGACATTTGGTGAATTGTTACAGAATTATTTCACATTATACAGGACGTTCCAAAAAAAAAAAAGAAAATGTCAACACTTCCGATGGGGAATTTAAAATTGCAACTGAGATGATTGTCTTTGGAACAAAGAGAAAAAATCGTTGATTCGTTCACACACTGTGTATGAATGTGCGAAATATTTCAATTATGACTCATCTTCGTAAAATTGACCATTTAACATTTCTTTCTTTTTTTAAAACACCCTGTATTTTATAGGATATTTTCTATAAAGGTTCTTTGGTTGTTCTATTTAAAGGAAACGACAGAAATGGACGTGGCTAAGATTTTCCATCGTATTCGACAATCTGAAAATGAAACGACGACTGACTTTGTCATCGACAATGACGACGATTCTTCGAACGCAAAGACGTTCGATTTATTCTTTTTTTTTTTCTTTTTTCTTTTTTGGACTGGTCTCGCGGATTCGACTCGCGTGTAACCTCACCGATATCGAAGCTAACGATTAAACTCTTGTATGTACATTGAATACGCAGGTGGATGCACATTAAGGTACCCAGAAGAGAGATCATGGTACAACGTTAATTATCAGCCGTTTACAACGAAACTTAAATGTAACACGTCACAAAACGAGAAAGGATACAATCGTACATCGTTCCTTGAGCTTCAAGCGAGGTAGAAAATCCGTAAGAAAAACTAAATCGATGAGGTAGATAGATCATTGTAAAAATTGACGCGTTCACATTCACATCGGAACGATTTGTGCAATTCAAACATACGAGAAAATACAACATTTGCTAACGATAAAATAACAATCTAAGGAACAATTTCAAGCTAATTAAACTATCAAATCGATCAACTTCTCGAAGATCCTACAAATGTAACAACGAAACGATAAATATCTTAGAATACTGTTAAACGATTCATCGATCTCCAATGAATTAAAACACAGCCTGAAATACTTAGCTAGAGCAAATTAAAAGTAATCCTCGTTGTATCGCCCTCGACGCCGTTTTACCTTTTTCAAATCTAGCTTAGAATCGTCGGGAAATGATTTTTATTACAAAACGAACAATCCTCGAAGAAAGTTGCAAGATGTCGCGTATGAATCATCAAATCAAGACGAACAGAGGCCAATGACGAACGTTGTCCATCGAAATTTCAGGATCAAGTGCGAAGCATCGTTCCGGAAGTCAGATCTTGAGCCGGTTCGACGCTGGTTCCGATGAGTTGGCGCGATGGATCGATCACAAGGGGTAGTAGTGGGCAAAGGGTGGGATTTTAATCGTGCTTCGAATCCTCCAGGAAGTCCAGACTGTTTCTGTGCTCGGTGTCGATGTTGTTCAAGGTGTTGCATAAACGAAGTAGCCTCGCTTCGTACGGATGAAGATCCATGATCTCGTTGTTGGATAAGAGATCCGAGCACACAGACGTCATGTCCACCTCCATTGGGTACATCTGCACGTTGCGGCCGTATCTGTCGAGGGAAATTGATAATTTAAGTTACGACGAGGTTCTACAATTGATTCCACGCAGATCTGTCTCAAATTTCGAGTGGAAAGGAAATTGGCGTCGAATTAAGCGGTACACACGGATGTAACGATAATTATGTGGACGTTGAATTAGACCGTGGATGGAAAAGTTGATAGAGTCGTTGGGAAAATTATTTCGAGAGATATAGTTTGTATTTCCAGGTAGATATATCAATTATGAAGTTTCACTTTTGGGAATTTTAGATTGAAGCTACTAATTCGTGGAATATATGGAATAATTAAATTAATTTTACCATTTAAACAAATGATACCACTGTATGCAGTTGTTATCGTGAACTCATTTACTGTATGCTTCCTTACTTTCGGCAGTAGTGGAAATAATTTAGATGTATCCCTGTATGTATCTTCGTTTTGTTGCAGAACAAAGAATATTGTTTGAGTAATATTCTCAAAATTAAAAGAAGCGACTTCTAATAGAAACAATCTTCAAAGAGGACACACTAAAAAATGTCACAATTTTATACAGGGTGTGCGAGAAATCGTGGCATTGTAAGCAAAGATAAGGTACAGTTGACGGAAGCGATACAATGAGGTTATAAATCGTATCCTACTTTAAAGCTTGTACCACGTCCACCATGTGTACCAACATGTTTTCACGAGTAATCTCCAAACAATACCTATCAAACTTCATCTCCAAACAAAATTTACCAGTTTAACCTACATATTCCTATACTATTCACCTGATAAAATTCAAGTCATTCCTTCCCCGTTTGAACTCCCTGTCGCCATCGACGTTCTTCAATTCAGATCGTCCGAATCTGATGATGATGTCCGGGGATTTCCCGCGGGGAAACCTGTTCACCTTCAAGCTGTCACCGTGGAAGGCTCTCTCCATGTTGCCATCAGGATCGCTACGACCGTATCTAATGAACGACGAGCCCATGTTGCTTCGCCGTTCCTTAGAATCGGGATCATCCGAGCGGCAGTCGGCGGTGTGCCTTTTCAACACGTACTCGAAGTCGCGGGGCCCGTCTTTGAAGACTCTCAGTCCACCTTCCGTCTTCAGAGGTGTTAATATCGTGGAAGAAACCAGAACGCAGTTGCAGATGAAGGGCAGCACGTACAACGACGATAAGGCGCTCTTTTAAAAAAAAAAAAAAAAATTTAACAATTTGCATTAGATTAGATAGGATTTGTCGTATGGACATAGAAGAAGGACGAACTGTATACATTTTTCATTAGGTTAAAACCTTCTCCTAGACAGCAATACGAATTTCGACGCATCTACTTGCCAGGAGAGAGAGCAAGACTGAGCCCTTAATTCAGAGCCGCTCGGTAAGGTCAGACCTCGCTATAGTCTGAGCCGAATGTATCGGCCGGTCAAGGTTACTCCCCTTCCGTTGCTATTCGGTTACATTCTTATCGCCTTTGTGGAATCCTTCCCTCGTAAAATATAAGACGGAGAGAGAATATTGCCGAAAAGAAAAAGATCTACTCTCGTGAGACGAAGAAAGTATATTATTAGCTAGAAATAAGGCAAAGATAGAGATTTTCGTAGAGAGGGGTTCGTAGATTTTTTCGGTGCGAAAAAACGACGGAGGAGAAATACGCGTTGTAATTTCGTTATTTTCGTAACAATTTAAAAAATAGACTTCTTTCTATATCAGACGATTACGTGTACATGTAAACGAGTTTAAACTGTCCTGAATTATATACGACAAACAGTATTTAAAGAATTGTTTAGTTAATGAAAGAAACCGTTTAGCAAAAATAGGCCTTGGCAAAGCGGAAAGATAAAGTACGGTTAGTGTGAAGGATTTGAAAGTCGAAGGATAAAGATACATAGAAAACATGTAGGCGCGTTTACAAGGAAGCCTGATTATTTATTTTACGTAAGAAGGTGGACAAATGATAACACTCTGCGGTTACGTAACTTTCAAGAATGCGAAACCTTCCATTGAATGGGAAACACAGTAGAAAGTAGTTATCAAGTTGCAAAGAATCCATCGTTTAACAATGTTTCACCGATAATAACTTTATAGATTCCTTTCTCTCGCTCTTTCTTTCTTCTTCTTTTTTTTTTCGCCTCTAGTGTTTATTAGCCAGTGTACGATCCGTTGCATTCATCGACTGTTCAGTTGCTCTCGAAAAGGTGAACAATTAAAAGTTCATCGAAAATCGCAACGAACGGCAGTTCGTGGAATATTACTGAATAACGAATCGTAACGTTTTATGTGTACAACGTGCAGTACTCTCTATTAGATAAATATAAATTTCACGTTTAACTTCCACAAAGGAAATCCACAAAATGTTTCAAGCGGAATTAATGAACAAAATTAGCTGTGGCTTTTCGAGTAGTAGGCGGGAATTTCAAAATTTCAAACGTTATTTCGCTAATTAGAATGATCTAAAACACCTGTTGGCTTATTCATCTATAGCCTTAACTGCGTATGTTAGGTTTAATCGAGAACTGATAACTCAAAGTAAAGAAAATGAATAATTTTAATAGTCCATCACAAAGAAGAAATATTTCCAGCGTTCGAAGTAAAATTCACAAGTCACGATGTAATTGACGAACGTTTTCCTCTCAAAATCTCTTCGAATATCGTATCTCGATTATCTCGAAATTCTCGAGAATCGACCAAAAGATTCTCGTTACAAATTCCTCCTGATTATTCGAGATGCAACGGCGAGAGACCGCAACGGGGCCGGTGATAAATAATATCGGTGTGTTATTAGCTGTCTTAACAGGATGTTTCGTAATACCGTCGGTATACCGAGCAAGATTAATACGGTGCCTTACGTTACTTTAATTAACCCTGTACGCAGTCACCCTTCATAATGGCGGCGTCGCCTACGAATACGCCGCCGGTTTTCTGTTAAAAACCTGCAGATTTACGAGGCTAGCCATGGGGGGGAAAATAGCGACATAAAACGAGGTGAAAATAATATCGATGCTCAACACGGCTCGTTAACATTTTTTTATTTAGGATACTGATTAATCTTGTTTGGATACTTAGTCGACGATGATTCAGTGAAGTGAAGTGTCAGAAGAAAGGAGAATTGAAACGACGAACGTGTTAGTAGAAGCATCAGAAACGAAGAAAACGATAGAACAGGTAAAGAGTGTATTTACCTTGAAATGAAAATAATAGAAATTTTTTCTGGAGTTTGAATTTGAGGTTATGTTTGACAAGTTACGGTGGAACAATTGAGGTTAACGTAGAATGTGCGTAGTTCTAAAGAATTTCCATTGCGTTTTCACATGGACCACGAAGTAAACGTATAGCACGTAGATGTCTCTACTTTTTATAATTTAACTCATGAATGAAAATCTAACCTGTCCCTTGACGTGTACGATTGCTATTCATAAATTCCTAGCGTCTCCGCAGCTTCTCCTCAAACATCACCTCGCATCCTCGTGAAATTTCAAACTTCGAGAAAAATGGGAAGGGAATATTCACACCGCGATCGGTCCACAAGCACATCAAAGAAAAATAGAATAAAGAAGGAAGTTAGAGGAGAGAGGTGAAATTAAAAATCCGCCTGGTCTGATATCGTATTCGTCGTTCGCCGCGCGCGAGAGACCGACTTGGCAAATTATGTTATATCCGTCCTCGATACACCTCGCGTCCTTTTAATGGCAATTTATACAGCGGAGTCAAAGAAAGAGCGATGCCTAGAAGAATTTTAAAAGCGTATCCACGTTGTAAGGGCGTGTTCTCACGGCTCCGCGGAGAGTAATCGCGAGCGAAACGCGATTAACACATTCTTGTAGAGGGGAATGCGACTTGGAACAGGCTGTTGAAATGGCGCGACATTTTTCTTTGTGCAATTAGCCATGGAAAGCTGGAGAGATTAAATTTGAATCTGGAAACGGGGGCGTGCAACGTATAATAGAAAAAAATAACCTCTCGACCGAGATTTAATCTACAAGTAACTTTGTTATAACTCGATCGAGCTTAATTACGATTTCTTTTTTTCATTCTTTGATTTCTTTTTATACATGACGGTGATTGTGAAAGTTTTCTATGACGAACATTTCGAAACATTGAATTTATCGTTTATTTTCTCGATTTACATTACGATAACGTAGAACAATTTTAGCAAAAAAAAAAAAACGTTAAAAGAACGTTAGTAGTTGAAACGTTTAAATATTACGAAACGAGAAATATACGACTTGGAATATTTTCATAATCAACCGACACATATGTTTATTTTGTTCGTAACATGAACGACAATAATTTTCATAGCAACGTGAACGTATGTATGTAGGTGGTGCGCGAGTGTCGTTGTCATTAATTGAATTGAACGAACGATCGCAGGTGGAACATGTTGCCATTTTGTCGAACAGAGAAATCGAGGGTGTGGGATAATTAAAAACGAGGCAATAATATATACATATATAGTTGCAATGGAAGGGGAAGAGCGATGAAGATATGCGGATGTTTTAATATTCCTCCCATTGTTTTCTCGTTATTTCAACCGAGCTCTGCGTTTCCTGTTTCGGTGATTGTTGTTTTTTTTTTACGAGAGAACGAAGATTCGTGGATACATAGGTGCGGAGATCATTTAAAGGTTTAATAGACTTCAAGATAGAGTGGAGAAAATTTTTGTTAACGAAGCCCTTACGTTTATTCGTGGAATATTAGGGGAATTAAAATTGAATGTTTTTAATCGTTCAATTGAAAACGGACATTTAGATTCGTTATGATTCTAGTCAAGCCTCTACATATGTTTTTCAATATAAAATTATCCTACTCTCTAAGAAAGATTCTTATTATCTTCTTCTCTCAAAAAAAAAAAAAAAAGAATTATACAAAGGAAAAAGGAATAGCAAAACAATGAAGCACAATGTCCAATTCAATTCTGAGCTTCTTTACCAAAGCCCTGAACAAACTGAACAAAATTCAAAATATCCTTGTTCAATTTCTAGGAAAACACTCTCAAGAAAGTTTCCTACTACCTTCTCTTCACAAAAAAAAGAAAACTCCATTGAAACTCATATATTCTACTAAAAAAGAAAGAAGACAAAAAAAAACCAAACACTAAAACACAGTGTCCAGTTAAATCTCCAACTGTTTTACCAATTCCCCATTCAGAGGTCAGTACAAAATCCAAAGTATCCTACACAATCTCTAGATCCACTAAAAATCCTTGTTCACCACTGTTTTTCAGATCACTTTGTATAACCAAAAAAGAAGAAAAAGAAACCTGCGTGAAAAACGAAAAACCAACATATGAAAAAAAAAACAAAAAAACAAGAAGAGTAACCCAGGCGTGGTGGTGATCCACAGGTGAGCGAAGATGCACAGGGAGTACTTGATGAATCACTCACCATGTCGTGAATCTTATCAGATGTCACTGTCACGATGTTTACTTTTTTGTCGATGTTCGCCGGAAACGTGGAGTCACACCTTGGCGAGAATTCGCTTCCGGTGATTCCGTGGTGCACAGTCGGGCCAAGAAGAGAAGAAGAAAGACGATAGAATACAGAGGAGGAGTGAATCGCGGTCACAAGAAGGATACGCGACGTTTGCGGCCTGTTGGTGGTGGCACGAGTGTCCGGGGTTAGAGATGACACCCTTTATATACAGGTCTCGGCGCATCCCCCGTAGCCGCGACGAGCCAGCATGGAGGAGAAAGGTTCACCTGAGTTATGATTGGCCAAGGCGTACAACATGATACCTCTACATTATTTTGATTCAATTATACCGCCGGCTACCGACCTACGTAATCTTCTTCATTATTTATGACTCCTGGCAAATAATAATAATCATCATCGGCACGAACCAAGGATCAGCGCGCCACTTCTCGCCAAAGTCAGATCGATCTCGAAGATCGCTCGTTCCCTGAAACATGTCACACGATCGTCAAGACATGATTCATAACGTTTTTTTTTTTTGTTAGCGGTTTTGTTTTAAGATGAACGATCGTAATTTATACACAGGGTGTTCCGTAATGTGATTCAGATTGTCAGTTATTCTGACATCGTACAATGTAATTAAATTTCGTTCGTAGAAAGCTCAGTTTTCGAGAGAATTCAATTTAAAATTCGTTAAAAATCGCGTTGCTTTCGTTCTTACTTTTACGTTGATAAACAACGGAAATAATCTACGCAGAAGATACTGTAAATGCTGTGGAGTTGAGGGAAAGAATCGTAGAAGCTTTCGAACAATTAAAGCGTGAAAATGCCGTGTCATTAGACCACGATTTTCCCATTCGAAGAGCAAGGATTTCTTCTATGCGTTAACAAGGACGTCATTCTCGACAATTCTTTCGGTAACAGAAATATCAACGAAGCAAGACCTTGATAAATGTACCTATCTTGACATTGACGTTATTAGTATAAACATAAGACCGAGAGATTGTTAAATGTACGCCCACTACAGGAATATTCTAATTCAATTTTCTCCGAAACTAAGCTTCTTATCAAAAAATTTTATTCCATACTTTCGGTCTATTTTTTCATGTAGAATCACCCCCTTCGTAGTTTTACCACCAGTTATGGAACACTCTGCAGATAGAGTTTGTTTCGACGAACTCGAATTTCATTTAACGTGAATTTATGTGATTAAATAGAAAATACGTGTACTTTTCGCTTTTACACTGTGCCATCCCTCTTTTCACCTGACGCTAATTTGTCTTCTGATTGCTGAGTGCAAGTGCAGTCAAGTCCCGGAGCTTCTGATTGCTTAGTGCAAGTGTATTCAAGAATATAAACACGAATCGAACAAATGTAATCTTTCTTTCTATCTTTTCCAGCCTCTTCATAATTCTTGCTCGTCCTTTAAAGCTTAATAATCCCTGAACAGTGTTTTCACGTCTATCAGCGAGGTGTTTAATGAGAAAAATAAATAAGTATCCAAATCCACCAGCTAGACGGTTCTTTTTCAACAGAGAAAGGCATCACATCTCAGCAGATTTCACGAGATAAACGGATCTATGTGATCCTTCTGGTTATTTGATCTTCGGAGAAAGATTAAAGGTTTGAATAATAGTTTCTTTATTTTTCACGGTCAGATTTCGTTGGCCTAACGGAATTTGTGAATTGGCAAAGTTTTTCTGATAGACGAATCATCGAAGGTTTAGATAAACGTCGGTACATCGAAATATTTCAAGATAATTTAACTTTTCAAGCTTCTCGGTCGGTCTTCGATAGTTGTAAGAGATTTATGAATTTACACGTGGCTCCATTATCGTCCGGATCTGTTGGAAATATAGATAAATATTCATATTTCGAGTAGATCCTGCGATGGTTTGCTTTTTCATGGTTCGTTTCGTATTTGTTTTTCATTTGTGCTACCTCTTACGCCAATTACCGCCACTTCCATAGTATTTTGACGCAACGCTGGAAAAGAGAATCCATCTTGTTGAGTTTAATTCGTAGAGAAACGTATAATCCTTCATGGGAACGTGAAGCTTTCTTGATATCTCTTCGAGTTAGATTCGAACAACGTAGAACGCTACTTTGGTCTTATCGTGTTGCTAATTTAGATCGTATCTTTGCTTCGTCAACGATTCTTCATCTAAACGCGTGTGTTACGTTTCAGTAGAAATTAAATCCAACAAAATTACAACAACAATTTCATCTCTTTATTTCATAGCTGAAACATTCAACTGTCGAATATTCCAATTAACGTTTTGCAACTAGATGTTTGTAATTGAAAAATTGCAGAAATTCCGTGGAAAGAAAGAAGGTAAAACTGGCTAATCCAAGGTGAGAAACAGAGGAAATGGAGTCTTTCGTGAATCAGGGGATGAAGTGCAACAGGTAGAGGCACTTGTTTTCCAGGGGTGAATCTAGGTCACTCGTTTCCCATCGTTAGACAACGATCGCGACACAGGTGCGAGTATCTCCTCCTTTGCTCGTTGTATTACGTGTTTCTCAAATGTTTTGGACGATCCTTGCGCCGGTTACAACGATGGAAAGAGCGTGATAAGAATACGTTAAACTTCTTGGCAATTTGTCTCGGTAATTTAAATAGAAACTGTGAAATATGAAAATTAAAAAATTTGGAAATCCTTTGACAGTTTGATTCCTTTCATAATGAGACACGCGAAAGAAAAAAAATGAGAAAGATGCTGGATAACGAGAAGAAATCATTTGTAAAAAAGTGACACGAGATAAGACCACGTTACTTATGGGACGTTATGGTATACCATGGCATAAATATAGTACAACTGAAACCGTGAGTTTGGTGGGCGACGAGAATGGAAGAACGTGGATTGAAGAAAAGATTCTGCGTGTGCGTGTATGCCTTGCTTAGATACGATCATTACTAATGTAGCCAGGTACATATTGTACGAGACCGATGCTATTACGTTTCTCGGTGCATAACAGAAAATAATCGAAGAAAGATAAAACGGAAACTTTTATTTATTCCGTCGAAGCACCCGTGCAAGTTATCTTTCTATTCCACTTTATCTTCTTGAATATTACTTATTTCTGAAAATTTGTTGAATACGTAAATCAATTTTTCGAAGTTTCGCAAGGAATTGCTCAAAAAACTTCGTAAAAGATATCGATTTTTTTTTCTTACGTATACCTTAAGAAATCTGTTGTACTTCACGATGACATCTAACGTATAAATCAAAATTAAACATGGCGAACAATGAACCAGTCGTTTGAAAAACGAGCATCGTGCGTCGAAAGAAGCACTGGTTGCATAACCCCAACACAATTCAGCCTCTTCCTATGTAGTTCGAACTCAAAGGAACATGATGCAGTAACAGGTGTGTATGAATTCTTGTTAGAGGAAAACTAACCTACTCGAGTGTCTATTTGAAGAACAAATTAAATCTCTGTTTTCTAACATATGTAGGTATCATTGGTCAAGGAAATATAAAAGCTGATTGTATTTTTAATACAGTTTATTTTCAATGTTGGCTGTAATTTATTAGACCAAAGATTGCCAAACGTACATTGTATAAAATATTTCAACGTTTTGTAACGATTAAAACAGTAAACAGCTGACGTTAGCATATTCGCTAAAAAATAACGTAAGACAGTTTAATAGTTCTCGTTTGAACTTTTCGAGGGCGCACAAAACCGCCGGAACTTCCGGTAGAGTGCAACGACTGCTCGACCTGAAGTCAGGTTGAACTTTAAAGTATTCAAACGTGCAATTCTTAGTGACGTGATTGCGTTTTCTTTACGAACGTTAGACGACTTTTATTCCCGTCGTTTTTTCTTGCTGTCTCCCCTCCTCCTACTAACTCCCGCCGCCTCTATACCATGCCATATGTAGGTAGGTGTGTAGCATATATAAGTAGAACAATAAAGCGCGCCTTATCTTGAAAAATATCTGCTTCCCGGCTCGTCTACAACCATTGTGTTTGCTTTTGTGCACGAGAAAGCTGGACTGACATCCTTGAAAGTATATAATCCCATGTTAAGTCGATGAACCGGCAGAGGGTGCCGTGAACAGTCTGTTGAAAATCGTAGATATACAGTTGACGTTGATGGCGAACCATAAAAGTCAATTGAAGTGGTTTTAGCATTTGTTGTTTGTTCATTGGGTATTTTGGTTATTCAGATATTTTAAAAAAGTATATGGTTTTAATTGTAATATGACGTAAAATTACATTAACCTTTCATATAGCTACAGATGATGCTATTCGAGACAGCTGCTAAAGAAAAATTATCAATTGAACGTTGTATTGACTTAGGACCAACAGTAGGTTGACTATTTAACAGAAAATATTTGTATTGATATGTGTATTTCGTTCAAACCATGGTATTTGATCGGACAAGTTGAATTACTGGCACATATACTCACATTGACATCTAGAAGATTGAAATCATTAATAAACCAATGAATGCCAAAATTACTCTGTGAATTAATCATTCTAAATGTATAACTTGATTGAAGCTGTAAAGAGGTAAAAGGGTTGTCAAGTAAAGGGAACACATTTGTGCAAAAACGAACTGTATTTTATATTTTAGGAATTTCAGATTCCACACAATAGGTGATTTTCCGCGAGAAAAATACCACAAGCAAAAGTAAAAATTTCGTCGCCGCTTTAATATCAAAATATTCGTGTGCACGATAGTTTAATAAGAAAACTATTATGTACATGGAATGTTACCAACTTTAATACGTGAAATGCAACAGTTTCCCAGATTTTCGTTTTATATTACGATCGAAATATGTGCCATTGTTCGCAGAAACGTGGATTCT